CATAATTACAAGCGGAGAACTGAGTAACTTAACTTCACAGCAAGCATAACAACAGCTGGTGTTTCTTGTGAGTGTTTCCCCGGGAAACAAACGCAAAAATACACAAACACACTCGCGAGCTTCCCCCAGACCAGTAATACAAACGAAAATGTGTCTTCGGGTCAATGTGACTGATTTCGATATAGCAAGTCACATTTGGTTTAGGCACGAAACATACTACCAGTAGAAATACATTGCTTTCAAAATCGCTCTGTGTCGAATCAATAGATTATATTTCGTGACTATAACACGAAATGCCGTGAGTGCTTCATCCTCTGAACACCACAGGATGGCGACTGTAACGCACATAACATAGGTACGCTCCTCTGAAATGATTGTCCCCTGCAATTAATATTATCTCTCAATCGAGTTCGCTATTCAGCTAGCTAACGTTAGCTTAAACAAACGTAACATGCAACGTTAGCCTAATCTAAAATGCTCTTCTACGGCGTACCTTTCATGTGGCTCGTCAGCGCAGACTCTCGCATCGTTATTTTTGCAAACTTTGCAGGAGGCTACTCGTGGGCTTGACCCTCGTCTTAGCCATGGCTTGTATTTGTCTTCTGCTAGCCAACGCTCGTTGAAACGGCAACCTCCTGGCACACAGTCATCTATCGCTCATCAGAATGCCCAGGTCACACGTAACACAAACACTTGCAGGTCGCGCGCATAGCGCGGGAAGGCCGCAGCGGAGCTGTTTTAGAAGCGAAGCAATTATTTTTCTTTTAATCTAAAAAGCGAACTATTCAGTCAGACAGCAATTTATTGTAAAAGTAAAGCATTTACATTTTCAAGCACTTTATCTCAATTTCAAGCACCATTCCCAAAATTCAAGCACTTTCCCAACCTTGAAAACACCACGTCAAATTTCAAGCATTTTCAAGGATTTCAAGCACCCGTACGAACCCTGTGACTGACTCTCGGGAGTTGCAGGGGGAGTGCTGAGGGAATCCCTGGCTCTGGAAACGTTGGCCCTTGCGGCTTTCTTTGCCTCCCTCCATTTCTTCCTTTTTGCCCTTTTCTCCCTCTCACAGACCTCATTAATACCCATCTTTATGCCTTTCTCTCTGTCCCTCCTCCATTTCTCTCTCTCTTTTTCAAGGTATTGCTGTCTTCTCTCTGGGTCAGCATCACGGCGTGCTCTGTAGTACCGCTGTGATTCAGCTGCACTTATCGGGGGTGCCATTCCTATACAAATGCATGCCATTACTTTAAGAACTATACCTATAATCAGGGGTGCACATAACTTTTTTGCCCTGGTTCTCAAAGGAGCACCTGGAGATGTTGCTTGGTGCTCATCCTTAAAATGAAATAAACCGTAACTTTTGAGGGGGTCTTGACTTTATTTGCCAGACACACGGCACTGAACACACATGCAGAGGTGAACACAAGACAACATTAGCACGACCAGTAATCCTACAAGCTGTCATCACTACCCTCCTGACTGTTCTCCTCACTGTCTTCCTCTCTGTCAGACATGGTAGCTGATGATGTAGGCCTACTTCTTCCTCTCTGGTTGAGTCTGCGATTAGCTGCTTGCATCCACAAGTCAACAGCTGGTTTTGGGTCGAAAGTCTCTGTTGTCATCTTAGACAAGTGGATGTAATCAAATAAGTATGTGAACATAACCAATAACCTATAGCCAATAACAAATGAATGTAACTTGTTTTATTTGTGTTGTTTATTCATATCTTATTTTACCTTAACATTTATTTATTTATGCATTTTTTTTTTATCTCTCCAGTTTTAAAGGATATTTTTGGTTACTGTCTTATTGAAATGATTTAAAACCTGATCCCAATAATTATAAAGGAGTGCCTTGGAAATATGTGTTTACATAAATTGTGACCAAACCGTTTGAACTTAGACTAAAGTGAACTATCTAAACACTCAGAGTCCTTACCTCACTGAGCTGTAGTTATCAGTCTGAATGGAGAGGACTCTCCCTCCACATTATTGTAGAAACATCTTCTTCTTATATCCGTTAGAGCAGCTAGCACCAGATGCTAATAACAACAGCGCTGGTACCGGTGCACCCTCCCTCTCTCCCTCGCTCACTCGCATTTTGGCTGTGAGCTGCGGGCGCCAGATAAGCCAACATCCCCCATTTTCATCACTTACAGCGCCCATCGTACAGGGCAAATGAAACGTGTAACCGGGGTGAAAAGGGTGTTACATTTACTTAATTATGAACATTGTTACATCAAGGCCGAAAATTAGGATGAGCCCCAACGGTCAAAATGTTTTTTTCCCTCCCAGAACTGCCAGCGCAGCGCCTCCACAGATCTGGCGCCTAGGGCCTAGGCGAACATCTAGCCAGTGCTACGGGCCGACCCTGAGTTCATATCATGGTTCATATGCAACTCATAAATATATCTATATCTCTCTCTCTCTCTCTCTCTCTCTCTCTCTCTCTCTCTCTCTCTCTCTCTCTCTCTCTCTCTCTCTTCTCTCCTCTATTTTCTATTCTCCCTTCTCTCTCTCAATGTTGGTACGCAAATGCGCTTTGTTTCAAATGACCCGGTGCTCTTTTTTTGGTGGAGGTGCGCATGCGCACCAGTTATGTGCAGCCCTGCCTATAACCCTTGTGTACATAATATACTAGATAATATACCCATCAGTGTTTCCCTAAGATTTTTTGCAGCAGTTTGTGTTGTGCCTATAGATTTAATGGTGGTGATCATTTATTATATTATAAAAACATTATTATAATGTTATAATAGTAATATAATAATATAACAATAAATAATATAATATTAACAAATGTTGTAATAAGTAAACAATACTTACATGTCCACCCTGTTAGGATGTTGTCCACCCTGTTAGTTTAATAAGCCTAACAGGGTGGACATTTTGAGCAAAAGTTAGCCTTTACCCTGCCTGTGTTAGCATATTTGCTAGCATGACCTTGGATACTTTATGAGGAATCAATCACTTTTTAAAGGAACTTTTTAAAATAATAGAATTCGATTAATATCCTTCATACTTAGGCCTAACAGGTTGGACATGTTATGTTCAAACACATCAAACAAAATTGACAGAAATATCCAAATCAGTTGTAAGAGCAGTAGAAACCCACACAGCTTACCTCAGTTGAATTTCCCGCCTCTGGTGTCATTTAAGTTCATAGGTGTGATGTCACTGAGAAATATGTATTTTTCTTAAAGGGACAGATACACAGCTCAACAGGGTGGACAGCGACCCTCGGGGACAAACATTAAACCTTATTTTTTTTTTACAATTTGAATAAAAACATTATTTGATTAGATAGATTTTGACAAGTTAAATAAAATAATAATAACATATTTATAAATTAATTTTGTTTTTAATAGCTATATTTTAGATCTAAGTTGAATGACCAGCAGTGGGGACATGGAAAAACTCCTCGATATCCCTTTAACCAATGCTTTTAAAATGAAAAAAAAAACTTAGATGTGCATATTATTGTATTAATAATAAATTAACAATTGAACACACATTAAAAACAAAATGTAATTAGTATTTGTCCAGATTTAGACAAAAAAAAACATTTTGTACTGGGGACACCAAAGGCACCACATACAAAAATGACCCAGTGAATCCCCCACCTTTGTTTTAGCATGTGTGTGAGCGGGGAGATCCCCCTTCGATTCTATTGGCTCTAACGGTCAGAAAGAGATGTCAATCACCAAAATCGACCAATGGGTTCCAGAGAAACGGTAAAACCCCCATTTCCACCCAAATCACTTCCGAGCAGAGGTGGAGTTTTTTTTGCTAAACCTCTCTAAAAAGGTCAAATGTCACTTGTTTTGCATCAGTCTTGATACAGAGTACTTATTATATGTTGTACTTTGGATTCCTAAATCCAAGGGTAGTTTTCACTATAAGTAAAAAATAATTTTTGGATGGACACTATAATTTACAGTTTTTTACTATGTTCAATCTGAATTTTCTTTAAAATAAAAAACATCTATATTGATTCTAACTTTTCTACATCCAACTCACAGGTTTATCATTACTTTGAGAACAAATATTATTAATTTAACGCTTTTAGAAGGGAAGATATGGTCATTTGTTCTGGGAATGTCATTTTTGAGCCTGAGACCTGAAAAAAAGGCTCAGGGCTAAACACAGATCCTATGAAAATGTTAAAAAAGTGCTCAAACTTCATATGTGTGCTAACCAGTGTTGGATGTAACGCGTTACAAAAGTAATGGAGTTACAGTAATATATTACTTTTTGCTGTAACAAAGTAATGTAACGCATTACTAATGAAATGTGGGTAATATATTACCCGTTCCAATGCTCAGTAACGCAGTTACAACACATTTTGACCCGAAATTAAATGGTGTTTTGTTTTTTAAGAAAGTACTAACATAGCGAGACATTCCGACACCAGACAAATTGTGCGGGTAGATTAGTAAACCTGGTGTGTTTACCCTTCAGGCTTCGCGTCGGGATCTTCGGGGCAGTTGAATGTTATGCACCCTCTATTCAAAAAAGAGAACGGAGCGAAAAATACAAACAACTAATTGTGTCAGGTGCGCGTGACCTGCTCCGCTGCGCGTGCATCATTTCCAAAGTGCTTCCACAGCAGTGACACACATCTGTGGATAATCATTTATACGAACATGGTTAAAGCAACCATCACTAAACGCCAGCAACACTGCATCTACTATAGACAGTAGCAACAGGTCAGATGGGGACATCACGTTACCCTCCGTTGTGGACACTAGCTTACTCCCGCCTGACTCGCCGCCCTCGCTCCCGGAGCAGCAGTCTTCGTGAGAAGCCCCTCACTGCAGTGCGCACTGCGCAGTACCTCAAGATGGGCGGGAGCTCAACATGGGCGGAGCCTCAACGCCCCTCCTTCTCAACCTTTGAGGCACGTGACGAGCTTCACAGATGACGCGTTGCATCCTGTTTCCGGGGTAGCAGTTCTGTTCTGTTAATCATAGCGTCAGAGTAAGATGGAGGTAAGTAATCCCTGAATAAATTAACTATTTGTTTTTGCTGCGGTTTAAAATGTGTTGACTTTAAGTCTCACTTATTTGCTGTCAAATGTGCGCTGTCGCTACGAGGACGTGCATGTCCTAGTGATGCAGAAACTAACTACATTTAATAACTATTAATTATAACTACAAACTACATTTGTGTTGCTTCAAAATAGTAGGATTGCTGTATAAACAAAGTCCTGAAAACTTTAGGAAAGTTTTAATATTATTTTTGCACTACTTGAGAAATACTAATAACTATACTAACCTATATTTCAATTCGATTTTTACAAAATAAATGTATATGCAGCTTATTTTATTCCTGCCTATTGCCTAACTATTTTGTTAGTGTTTATTTTCTTTGACCAGAAACACATCACACACTGATGAAAGGGATGTTCTCTGAAGGATAGAGCTTGTGCCAGAGCTGGCGGGGTGCATACACAGTCAATGTGCGGAACAACTGTTCTCAGGAATGAGGAAAAACAATTACTTTTTGAACATGACAACACCCTTAACACACATATTTCTGCAAAGAAATATACTACACCACTACAATGTGACAACAAACAACAAAGCTAAAGAGCAATACAGATCATCTGAAAAGTATCATCCCAGCAGATATGGAAATACAGCCTGATGTCAATGGGAGGATATCATTAGGTGAAGCATTTCTTAGAATCATTATGTTCTTGTTCTTTTATGTGGTTATCTGGAGAACTCATATTATTTCATTTCAACAGCTCCTCCTTCACAAGTTGGGAAGGCCACTGCATTTTCAGAACACCACAGAGATGGTCAGGAGCAACAGGAGTTAAGTTATCTGCTTGATATTGACAACTTGTATTCATACAAGTTGTACTGTATAAAGACATACATTTTGTGTTGATTTGTTATCAAGTGAATGATGCCAAGGACCAGGGAGACTTTACTAGTATCAACACAGTTATGGCAAGCAAAGGTTGCTGGGGACAGGAGCTTCAGGAGGTTCAAACAAACAAGTCAAGTGAACTAGTCAGCAGTTCAAAATATTGTATGTTTGCTAAATATGACTTAAAATGCCGGTTTTCATTTGACTTTTTCTTCCTTTAGCTGGCACAGGTTCTGGACAAGACCCAAAGCCCAAGCACACATTTAGCCTTTGTGAGCAAGATGGCTCTCACGCGGTCAGATCTTTGGAGTTTGTGTTTGGCTAATGGCATGGATGGGATGGTACTCAGAGTGATCACGCTCTTTGTTTCTTGTACTCTTTCTAACTGATTTTGTTTTAATTGTTGGCATGTTTCATGTATTTTACTGACTGTGTGTTTGTATTCTGCCAGATCCTGAACAGCTGTCTTACAGTTATTGAGAAGGTATTGAAGCTGTTCTAAAATATGTAAATATATGTATAAAACATACTATATTATATCAAACAATTATAAGATATTACATTATGAAACTATCTGTTACAGAGAGTAGATGGCGTGTTTGCTGCCAACAGCCATGTTATAGCTGCCTGGTTTCCACCATCTTCCACCATCAATCCGATGCAACACCTGCCGGTATTTGTATCATGATTATCCATGCTGCTGCTCCATGTTCTCGTACCAACTCATTACTGTAGTCACATCAACACAACTGGTTTTTTGCTTTTCCAGGAAAATGCAGCAAACCTCCAACGGCTTCTCCTTCCAGCGTGGGAACCTGGACACTCTGTGTGAGTACATGTAGTTCAGTCTTTGCTATTGTTTGTTTACTGTACAATGCAGTTTGCCATGCCGCAAATAGTGTTTCTATCTTTAAATTCAACGCTTCATTTAGTTGTATAATACAGATCCTATAACTTTATAATATAACGTTTGTATGTCAAAGTATACCTGTTGATATTGGAACATGTGATATTAACAGATACTGAGGCCACAAGCTAGGGAGATTTTCTTTCTAGATCCCCTCCGTGGCGCTGGCTGGAGAGATGATAGTCGCACCAAACCATTCAGGTTTTTTGGCGCACAGTTCCATCACATCCGGACAGTGGTAGTTCTGTTTCAGACCACTTGTCTATCTTTTTTGAATCTATGGCTCTGTTTTATTTGAACTAACATGGGATGCATTGTATTAAATAAAAGGCATTGAACAGAACCATAGATGCCACTTGACAGCGGGGCTGTTCTGTTTGACCCCTTAATGACTTTTTTTTTGGAAGTTCAAGTTTGTTCCTGTTCCAACAGTGTTCAAAGATTTTCTGCATGATTTTCGAGTACTTATAAAGTTGAATTAAATGGTACTTATTCTTAACTTTCACATGCATTGTGTTCACAGAAACCTTGCTCAGATCTTGTGCCCTGGGCCTTGGGCAAGTCTTGGTGTAGATGATGTCCAGGTTAGATTTGTTAAAATTATTCTACTGAAGAGTATGATGTAATTGTCAATTTTGACACTTTTCACACTACAGGGCCTTCCAAGACAAGGGTTCTCGAACAACTGTGGGGTGTTTGTTTTGATGGTAAGATACTGGATGTACAGTATACATATAGTAGTCCTATTTTTCTGTTTATAATAATGTATACAAATGTATACTGCTTTCAGCATGCTATGCACTCCATTATTGCTCATGCTGTGATTTATTTATATCCAAAACAACATTCATATTATTTGTCAATGAACACCATAGCATCACAACAACCTAACATAATATACTATTTCTTTATTTACAGTACGCATTTTACATTGTGGCAAGAGCCCAATTTGATTTCAATGAGGTATGTAGAAATAAGGGTTTCATATTTCAGTTTTTCATTGATATCACTTGTGGATACAAGACTTTTCAGGACATGTGTTGTTGACCCATCTGGTTGTGTGCTTTATATATTCCAAGACAAACATGCAGCAAATTAGGCACTGGTGGTGCCTAGTTCTCCTCAAAAACTTTCCCATGCCGTATGTTTCTTTAATTTTACAATTTACATTTGCATTCTTGAGACTATTTATTACACTGTAACCTGACTATATCATGTTTAATGAATGTTTTTAATGTTTGTCTTTCATTCACCAAGGTCTGAACAAGAGAGGTCGCAAGACTGCAAGAGGCGACGGGAGGAAAAGGCAATGCAGGTAGAAGTTGTTGAATCACAAATGATAAAGTCTTGAACCAGTGTGAGTGTTAAACATTTAACCTCTCTTTGTCAAATATATTTCAGGATGAAGAGGTTGTGAGGTTCCACAAAAGAAGCAGACCATCATTTGAGATGGGGTCATGAGTGACCGCTGCTGGGGGGGAGCTGTTACAATCAGCTGTATTAGGTTCACTAATGCCTCAAAATGTATTAGTTGTCACGATCTGTCTGTGTATTATTTTGTCCTGTCTTGTCTGTTGCTTTCTGTGTTCAATACAATTGAAAGTCCTGAATTCAAAGTGTTTCTTAAGTAAAAGATTATAAGTATTATCAGCTAAATGTACTCGAAGTATCAAAAGTAGAAGTACATGTGGAATGGCTCTGTTCACAGTATTTTATTACCATTGATATTATCCTGTCAATTCTATCAATTTGTCAATACGATGGCACTTTTTTTAATATATTTTTTTAAATACTGGTAGGAAATAATGTGATATGATTTCATTTATATCACATGTTTTTTAGTAAAAAGTGAGTAAATATACAATATTGCCTCTGAAATTAAAATTAAAAAGGTGTACGTTAAAAAACAAATGAAGGCCCTTTCTTGAAGTCATAACTGAAATAATTGATGCAATTAACATGCAAATAGACATTAAAATATGCTTTGAAGGCTGTTAATGTGTTTAATTTGAGTTTTACATTTTTAAATGCCGTTGCCATGGCGACAGATCACTCGCCATCATCACAGACCTCAAGGTATCATTATATTACCGGTATCATTATATATATATATATATATATATATATTAATAATATAAGATATAATATGTTAAAATAGTTAATACTCTGACGCTATGATTAACAGAACAGAACTACTACCCCGGAAACAGGATGCAACGCGTCATCTGTGAAGCTCGTCACGTGCCTCAAAGGTTGAGAAGGAGGGGCGTTGAGGCTCCGCCCGTGTTGAGCTCCCGCCCATCTTGAGGTACTGCGCACTGCAGTGAGGGGCACTACGTCTTCGTCGCCCGAAACTACGCAGCCCCTCAGCGGCCCGCAGGCGCCAGGATACCACGGCAAAACAGAGCCTGCCCAGGTATATCTAAACAAGTACCCGCCTGTACAGTGGGGTTAGGCGGTCATTTTGCAGCTTGTGGTATAAAAATAGACAAGGGCTAGAATATTCATGTGAAAATAGTGCCATATTCTGCCATGCCTGTAGAAATGTTGGGTCAAACATAATGCATACAATAGCACAGATGCCTTCACCACGAATGGCTACAAAACTATCTCATATCCCAAGCTTATCAACGAGCTAATGTTGCAGCTGAAATGTTCTCCAGGTCACAAAGTCAACCTCACATGATGATGTGATACCAGTTTTTAAGCACAGTAAATATTGTCTTCCCAGAGTATATGATGGGACCAAGGTGATGATTTAGTACATGGTTTTAATAATACTTTTGCTTTTCAATGTTTGCCATTTCAACCCATGAGCTGGTTTAAATAATATTTGCCTTGATTTACAATATCTTCTCATTTGTTTCATCAGTACAGCTTTGAAGCTTTTGTGCTTTTCTTTGCCATAGTCCACTTTGGACTATATGAAATATTTCAGGATTGCACTTTTAACTCACTTGAAATGTTCTCACTTGCTTGGTTTCAAAACATAACAAATGCCATAATCTGTTCATTGGGGACCATCAATGCTATTTTTCATTGCTGTTGCCGGCACTATTGCTCTGTAAACCTACTACTGCTGCGCCCCCTGTAATCTCAGAGGCACCCTGAGTCCTTTTGTTCTGGAACCGGGCCTGTACACGGCCATATACTAAACAAACTACAGAGCCCATTCCGTGTCCTGTTAGTGTTTACTTCCTGTCTGCCTTCTTCTGGTGATTTATCTGACGCCCAGCGCTCCGTCTTTTAACCTCTTTTCCTTTCTCTTTCTTGATCCTCCTTAGCAACCTTCATTACAGTCCTTGACAGTGGTCTGTACTGCTGTATTAACAACGTGTCACATGTTAAGAATTTACAATCAGAATCAAGTATTCAACTAAGCCGTGTAATATAAGTTGTTAGTAGCCTTAAGGGCCTACACAGTTGTTAAGCTATACCACATTGCTCTTCACTGGATGTATAATGAGCTGCACTAAACTACATTTTAGCATTTAAAATACCTAGCCATTCTTTTGCGGTGATTTTGGTGAAAGTAACTAAAAAGTAACTAAAGCAGTGTAACTCATTACATTTCAGAGACAGTAATATTGTAATGTAACTTATTACTTTCAAAAGAGAGTAATAAGTAATATATTACATTTTGGAAGTAACTTGCCCAACACTCGTGCTAACAGTCCAGCCGTGAAGACATCCACGGGACAGTTTTGAGATTTCTTCAAATGCCGTTGCCATGGCAACACAATGCTCGCCATGAAACACGGTTTTCTCATAACTTCAGGGAAAATGCTCCAAACGGCCCAAAACTTCACAGGTTTGGGAACGATGCAGCCATTAACGCATCTAAGCGTATTATGAGGTGTCGTCAAATGCCGTTGCCATGGCGACAGACCACTCGCCATGAAACACCATGTCGCTGTAAGTCCAAAGGACACGGTCCAATCGTCCCCCAATCTTCACTTGTATATCACCGGTCCATGCCTCAACAGCTCTACGCCAAATCTGAGATCTCACCATATGCCGTTTCCATGGAAACGCATCCCTCGCCATAAAACACGATGTTGCTATAACTCCTATGAACATGTTCAAAAAGTGCTCAAACTTCACATGTGTGCTAACAGTCCAGCCGTGAAGACATCTACGGGACATGCCGTTGCCATGCCAACACAATGCCCGCCATGAAACACGGTTTTCTCATAACTTCAGTGAAAATGCTCCAAATGGCTCAAAACTTCACAGGTTTGGTAACGATGCAGCCATCAACGCATCTAAGCGTATTATGGGATGTCATCAAATGCCCTTGGCATGGCGACAGATCATTCACCATGAAGTTAGTTCAGAAGTTTGCATTTCAAATATTCTGCTGCTTTTCCAAGCCTTTTTACTTTCTTTTCTTCTCTCATCACACATTCAAGCCCCCAGTGTTCATGTATCATTTCAATCTAAATTCTTCACTTTCTTCTTACACATTACATTTCAGCATAGCAGTTTAGCATCAGATTTTCAGCATAAAGCATTCCCACTAGCAATTTCTTCAGGAATTGCATTCTCTAGTTGGAATCTGCTCCTCCTCTTGATTCAGATTGTGAATATGGTTTTTTCACCAATTATTACAAATGGTATGACATTTTAATTGAAGCATTTAATCATTGATCACCACACGCTGTTTGTTTCCTGGCAGAAGACTTATTCCAAAGCATCATTATATGATACATTTTTTTATGATACATCAAAAAATAGCTCCACTCCTCCCTGTATGGTGCATGAGATTTGAGGCCAAACATAATTTTTTTTAAAGATCAGCAAAGAATTTCAAAAAGCTTAGTAAAACAACACCAAAGAAAGTTGGCTTATCACTGGGAGAATTTTAATTTTCAGAGGTTCGAGTTTGGTCCAGTCAGGAAGGAAATGATTGACAGCTTGGAGGATGGTGAGGCTTTAAGTGCTGCATTTAATGTGAATGCATACTGCAACGTGTCAACTACTAACTGGGTAAAGAACTATGGAACTGATTATCAAATTGGAATATTTATTATGATAAGAACTGATAAAGAAACTCCTGTTTTTGGAAAAATCAATAATATCATTCTAAATGAAGATCAAGCTTTCATTTTGATTTGCAAAGTGGACAATGTATTTTGGTGAACACTATAATTCATACTGTATCGAGGAGACAATTGATTAATTTTCTGTTATTTCTATTGATGATTTGCGTTATTGTAGACAATGACAAACAGTTTTCTAATGAGATGGATGGAAAAACATACATAGTGCCACATTGTCATATTGTGTGACCTGTGCTGTTAAGGACTGAATGGACGTACTGTGGAATGTTAATGTAAGCCAATGCTGTATATGTTGTTTTTACACAAATACAGTTCGATGTTAACTGCAAACTTTGAAACTTGGCTTGTGTCTTTCTTTTATCGTCTTTTTAAATAATGTTGCATTGTGTGAGATTATAAATTGACACCATACAGTGCTTTTAAAATATGAATCAACTCAGTTGAGTTACATTGTATATCCTTAATAGTGTTAATATGACATTAACTCCATTTAGTGTTAAAAAAAATTACACTTGTGGTTTTAACTTTTGACTCTGCACGCTAGTGTTGCGTAAATGTAACACTGACCAGTGTTGACCAGCGTTACATTTTAACTATAGAGAGAGTTGCTGGAACTCTGTCCTAGTGTAAACTTTTTAACACTTTCAAAAGTCTAGTTTTAACTAAAAACTGTGGACCAATATAGACACTTTAAAAGTGTTGTATTTGACTCTATAAGAGTTAAATTAGCACTGCTGATTTTGCTGTGTGGTTGTTGCCTTTCCAAAACATGTGCTATCACTTACTGTTGTTTAACTTGAGAGGGTCAGACTGACTGTCAGAGCTTTCCCACACTGCGCCGCCCAGAGATGAACATAAACCCCCCTGACTTTGAGAGGATAATGTTCTAATGTCATCTGAGGATCTGTCAACAGGATCCGAGTGTATACCATAGACAAATATAAACTGTGTAAAATCCCGAAACAACAAGGTTTAAAACTAAAAAGCATGAATAATTAGTCAATTATACAAATTAAAGACACATTAATGATGGCTTAGTTCAAATGGTTTAATAACCCTTAAATATTGCTATTGTGGCTCTAAAGGGCATGCTACATTTTACATGAACCCTTTCAAACATGGAGGTCGCCTGGTGGCAAGGGAAAAAGTACCCGACCTACAGATTTACATTAATTAGAAATATGTTAACCGGAATTGTCCTTAAAAATGCAGAAGCTGAATAAATGAGTAGAGATATATGATGAATGGAAATGCTTTCATGCTCACTGAATAGCTTAATGCCGTGTTTGATTAGAAACATTTTGGCAAGAGGACATATAATGACCCATGGTTTAATGAGCATGAAAATGAATAGATGTAACACAATTCTTTCTTAACGTTTTTCTTTTATCTTTTAAGTCTGCAGAGAACAAAAATAAAGCTGGCAATCAATTTGTTCGCATTTATTTTAAATGCATCCTTGTTTTCTGCATTTGTCAAAGCTCAGAATTTGCTTCTGTTTCCTATTCAGGACATTCTCTTTGATTTAATCCCTATAAATATATAGTTA